CCACATCATTGATAAAGATGTTAAACAGGACAAGTCCCAAAACTGAGCCCTGAGGAACACCACTTGTGACTGGTCGCCAACTGGATTTAGCTCCATTCACCACAACTCTCTGTGCTCAGCCATCCAGACAGTTTTTGACCCAGCAAAGCATATGCCCATCCAAGCCATGCCCAGCCAGCTTCTCCAGGAGGATGCTGTGGGAGACGGTGTCAAAGGCCTTACTAAAGTCCAGGTAGACAACGTCCACAGCCTTCCCCTCGTCCACCAAGCAGGTCACCTCGTCATAAAAGGAGATGAGATTGGTCCAGCAGGACCTGCCCTTCCTGAACCCATGCTGACTGGGCCTGATCGCTTGGTTGTCCTGCATGTGCCGTGTGATGGCACTCAGGATGATTTGTTCCATCACCTTCCCTGGCACCAAGGTCAGACTGACAGGTCTGTAGTTCCCCAGGTCTTCCTTCCGGCCCTACTTGTAGATGGGTGTCACATTTGCAAGCCTCCAGTTGACTGGGACCTCCCCACTCAGCCAGGACTGTTGGTAAATTTGCAGGATCATAACATCTACACTAAGAGACAGTAGTAGTATACACCTCTGGTCTATTACTTGCTCATGAAGTGAGGACACTGAAGTTTTTCCTGTCTTTAAAAAATCCAGCTTACTTCTAAGTAAAGAAATATTCAACCTTACTAGACTGTGGGGAATTTCTGCTCTTAGTGCAATCTCTTATGTTTGATAGATTGTTTAGACAAGTCACTTTAAGAAGCTCAAAAATACAAAGAGAAAAAGGTCTTACTTGTAAAATCATGGAGCTGTGGCAGTGAATCCAAAATTATACCAACCAAAGGGAGATAGAGAGCTGCAATTTTAATCTTCACCTCTTTTTTGGAACAACGTGGGTCTAAGTCATGGGAACTCAGCAGGCTAAGGATAGCACTGACAGCTTTTCTTTGCACCTTGCTAATCCTGTTAACACAAAAAACATCCATGAGCTCCAGTAATGGGTCATGCAGAAATTATTTATATAACCAACATTTAAGAAACAGAGTGGAAGTGAAAGAAACAAATTAATACACCAATATTAATTAGATAATATCTTCCATTCTAAGCAGAGACTCACGATCCCTGGAAAAGATAGCTGTCTTACATCTCGAAGCCATTTCACGACAATCAAAGAGCACTCAAGTCTTTCAGGCTTCCCATAAGAAAATCAGTATCATAAAGAAAGGTGCTTAAAGAAAAGCATCAGACTATGGCCAAAGTTTTGGCAAACTCTTAAGCTCAGACAAAGGCAGAGGTGTTTTAGAGAGAAGAGCAACTGAAATTTTAAGTTGTGTCCTCAATTCCTGTATTTAGTCAACACTACTGCAACAAATAGTATATTTTTGCTCACCAGGACCAACAATCTGCCATTAAAACAATGACTGTGTTATTGCTATGTTACAGACTGACACACTGTAAAGAGTGGGAGAAGCAGGACTGCACTGGAATCAAACTATGACCTTGCCAAGAGTAATAGTATGACTTGATCCCCTTCCAAAATCTGCAAATTGAGATACCCACCCCTCACCGTCTGCATCCAGCGCTGCTGCCAATTCAGTGAAAAGTAAGCCAGTCAGAAAGTGCTGCTGACGGTATTCGGCTGTGAGGTCAAACATACCAGCAATTTTCTGGTCCTGAAAACTAGAGCAGGAACTAGAGTTCTGCAGAAGTATATTAGAAGTGTTAAAGAATGATCATGGAAATCAAAGCTTCTTCAAGAGGTTGTAGTCACAGTCCATGTAGCTAACAGAAAACCTCTATCACAGGAAAAGCACAGACTTTGAAAGACGGTTGGACATGGAAAACATCTGAGTGTGAAACAAAAAGCATTTTGTTTCAAATGAGTTGCTTGCTAGAATGCAATCTCATACTTTCCATTCTGTGCAAGCAACTCAACTGATATTTTTTGAGATGTAAAATTTCTACCCTGTATTCATTAGTTTAGACAGGACAGAAAGTCAGAATTTTCTCTATGTTTACAACTCTTTACATTGCTCTTTCTGTTGCAGAACAGCCATTGGGCATCATACAGCAAAAGGCTGCCCGTACATTAAGAGGGATGTTAATGTCAGAAGCTCTACACTGTGCCTTCCTCAGCATCCATGATTTCTAGCATGGAAGTAAGGTCAGGAAAAACGTGCAAACAGTGTTTCCTTTCACCCTGGAAATCCTTGGCTAAGCTTACTGCAGCTAGTATAATTTAGAGCAGCCTTCAAGCTGCTGTAACTTATGGCTATGACTGATATACAGCCAGCCGAGGAATAGAAAGTTGCTGCTCTATGTGTGTTGTGAACTTCTTAGCTTCTCCAATCATAGGTCTGTGCCACAGGTCACCTGGACTGTATTTGTCCCCTGATTGGGTAAGCATAAGACTTCATCTCTACTCCCCAGTGCAACTAGTGGGGTTTGAGTCCAAAATTTGCTTTTAATTTATATTCTTCAATATTCTGTCCCAATATTTCTCTCAGTCACCTGGTAATAGTCCCAGAAAACAAGCACATGAAGTAGCAGTATACCACACTGTGGCAGCTGTCTTCCAGGATATTGGGTTAAATGAAACTCACAGCTCTGAGCAGACCCTTATCCTGAATTCACATACTTAAGCCCACTCCCATTTCAACTTCAAGCAGACAAGCATTGTATATATTAAGTTTGTGTGGAATAATATTAAAGTACAGTGCACCCAGTTAAGTGAATTTGGCTCCTCTCGGAGAATTCAGAAAGATTTATTCACAAGGCCACATTTCTTACTGAAAACTCTTAACTCTGGCTAGGCAGCACTCTGGCAGACAGGTCAAAATTACTGCAAGGGTGTAGCCTGCAGTACAGCTACTATATTAAATCATCCAAATGCCACAAAAGCTTTATTGATTTGTGCAGGTTGCACTTCACAGGTTACTCCTTGAGGAGAAAAAGAGTTGATGATGTTGCTTGAAGAAAAGAATGATGAAACTGGTGTCTGCCCAGCTCTGACTTGCTAGAACTAG